TCCATGCCCATTCCCATTCCATTAGTGTCCCAGTTTTCGGCTGGCAGACGGCTTGGGATTATTAGGTTAATAGCTCTTCTCGTTTCAGTTTAATCTTGCTGAAATTGAAAAACATAAACTACAGCCAAGTGCGGAGCTGGACAGAGATTGAGCTGGAGAACCCTATGCAGGGACAGACAGGAGCAGGACACAGCACAGCCAATTCCCCTGCTAAGCGAGTGGAAATGAAATATTTTTGTTAATTAGAAAGGCAAAACAATCGGATATGGCCATAGGTGTAATTAAGTGCAAACATTTTAATTGAATTCCAGGCTCAAACGAAAACTCCATTCTGAGGCCATCTGATGGAGACCCAAAGGCTCGACCGTCTGCCAGTCGCATCCTCTTGGGTAAATCATTTCTCACCTGCTGCTACCCCACTACCCCACTCACAACTTTAAGTTTGCAAATTAAGTTTGAAATTAAACCTTAGCACCCCGTTGGACAGCTGAAGGCATATATCTCAATGCATTTATGCTGCTCAATGAAGCTCTTTCCGACATGAATAAAACTTTAAATTGACTTGCCAGCTATTCAGAGCCAGGGACACACACGCTGCCACTGCCATTCACACATACACATTTGTGCCAACACCTTGCTCCAGTAAGCCGCACATTTCTAGGACAGAGCCACAGCCAGTGCACAATGCGAGATCTGTTTTATGGTAACCTCAAGTGGCTTATTTTAACGGCCCAGCACCGTAAGAAGAAAAGTTCTGACAAGGCCACACGGAGGATATGTGTGTGTGTGTGTGTGTGTGTGTGTGTGTGAAGTGGGAGGGAATGCGACACGGTAAAGAACTTGTAGAAGCCCAAGGATTGGAACGCCAAAGAGTTACTATGTGGTTGGGGGCTGGCCACGATGTCATTACATGCCCGAGCCTGTGCATCGGCTTAAGCTGTCCAGGAAACTGGTTTAATTTAATTTTTATGTGGTTACCAATCGATGAAGTCCCACAGCCACCAAGCTACCAGCTCCCAGCTCTGTCAAAACTTCCAGTGAACTTCATTAGGGCAAATCTGACGGCCAACAGTATTTTAGTCCCTCGACGGTCAGTCGAGCCACTTGTGGAATCCCAGACATTTTCTCATCGAGAACGAGCAAGATGACGATGGTTAAATGAAGCAGAAACTTGGCCAAGGGTATTCATTCATGAGTTGTTGCCTTTTTCTTTCGGTTTCATGGAATGTACAGCGGTAAAGGATGCTCGACAGGTCGAGTATTCCGGACTATCCCAGTCGAGTGCTTCTCGCACTTTTCCTTCGAAGGCAACACCTGGGCTGACTTATTCGCCTCCTTTGCCGGCTGATTGTGGAGGGTGCTGCAAAGTTTGCTCGAAACTTGCTGCAGCAAATACACCAGCCAAGGGTGAAATAACTTTGACACAAAACTTGGCGAAAACCAAAAACCTTTCAAGAGTCCACTTCTCTCCAACAAATGCTAATCAAGACTGGTCGCAGGAGCGGGAGCGGAAGCTCTAGGATAAAAGGATCTGCATAAACTTTCAGTGCAAGAAAAGCCAATTGAAGGAACAAAAACTTGTTGGCCGATAATTGTCACTCCACTCTCTCACGAGTGGATTCCCATCACAGCAGCACTGACACTGTTTTAGTTGACTTTTCAGTTAGAAACAAATAAAATTATCGATTCAAAACCATGCACAATCTTCGCTTCCGTTCGCTGATCACCTTCACGAGCCTCTGGCTAATCGGTCGCCAGCGTTCGAGCTGCGTGGAAGAAGGAACTGCGATTGGGGACACCAAGGGTCAGGCCTGGAACAATGACTGGGACCAAGGCAATCCCATGGCAGCGCAAGTAAGCGCGGGACAGAAATCAAAGGCCTCGCGACACATCATAATGGTGAGGCACGGACACTACAAAAAGTCGAAGGCAACCGGCGATCAGCTCACAGACCTCGGACGACGGCAGGCCAAGTTGACGGGCAAGCGACTGCGGGAGTGGAACATCAGCTGGGACCAGGTGGTGGTCTCCACCATGACGCGTGCCCAACAGACATCGGAGATTATCCTTAAAGAACTGAACTTTGATCCCCGCAGCGTAGTCCACACGGATGAGCTGCGAGAGGGAGCGCCGTATCTCGCGGATCCCCCATCGAAAGCGCGCAGACAGAAGCTGGAGGAATCCATTCGCCGGGATGGACCCCGCATTGAGGCTGCCTTCAGGCGCTACTTCTACCGTGCCCCGCCCGACCAGGAGCGCGAATCGTTCCTCCTGATCGTCTGCCATTCGAATGTCATTCGGTATGTGATCCTGCGTGCCCTGCAGCTGCCACCTGAAGCCTGGACACGGCTCAGTCTCAATCACGGCTCCATTACCTGGCTGACTGTCCACCCAACGGGCTACGTATCGCTGCGCTTCATGGGCGATTCGGGCTTCATGCCCGTGCAGCAGATCAGCAGTCGCTGCAGCAGAGACTCGGGCTTAAAGCCTCCAAAGGAGATCCAGAATCGCGGCTGAGCCTGATTAAATCATGTCTGTGTGAAAAATAGAGCTCGAATGCATCACATCATTTGCATCCGTACAATGTGTTACCCTCCCTCACCCAATACAGACTCTCACCGGCCAGAAACGTGACTTTCGTGCACATTTTGGGCCGCATTCGGGTGTCTGGCAACGGCAACGACAACGACAACTACAGCTGCAGCTGCACTGTTGCAAAAACCACTTTAACTTTGGCCAACATCACTTTACTGTCGTTCGCATCTGGCATTGGTTGCAGGCAACATCCAGTGGCCACGGCGGTCACGGAGCGTTGCTGCATGCCAGACCACTCGCCCCCCTTTTGCCACATTTTTGCTACTCTTTTGGGTTTTGTCTCCTGCTCATTAGTGCGCCTTTAATTTTGGTTATTGTTCCTGTACCCCCGATGTTGTTCGGTTTCGGTTTCTGGTTTCTGGTTTTGGTTTCTGGCTTGCTCCTGTCGTTTTATTCAATTTGCATCCCAACCTTCACAATTTGAATTGAATTTGAGCGGGGCATTGGCAGTTGCCAGGCACGGGCTGTGCCTTTGTTCTCTGGAAGATTTCTGTAAGGGTAAAGCCATGCCATCGCAGTTCACTCTTCAAATCTGACGTATCGATTCTCTGTCATTTTGTTAGGGGGGAAATGCTAATAATTCCCTTCATTTTGGGGCTATCCCTTTGGAGCTCGGACACCGCGGCCGACCGGGGAGTCTTTGCCGAGCTGCATGACAAAACATTTGAGATGCTGATCACCGGTGGCCACATACCGGACAGTGGGACTCTGATCAGGCACATTGTCTCCATACGAACCCTCAACTATATTGAATATCGTGGCGACAATCACTTTTGCAGCGGCGTTTTGGTCAGCAGTCGGGCGGTGCTGACTGCCGCCCACTGCGTCACTGAGTAAGTGTGTAAGTGTGAGGTAAGAGAAACGCAGATGAGGCATTGAACCTGCTCCACCACCTGCCACACAGCTGGTTCAAGGCGGCCATGAACCCGCGCTCACTGCTCGTCGTGTTTGGCAACACGCAGCGGCTGGGCTTCTACGCGATTGAGGAATGCCGTCGCGTGGACCGTCTGGTGCTGCATCCCGAGTACAAACGTTACAAGCAGAACGATCTGGCGGTGCTCCAACTGAGCAAGCGCATACCCAGCAACCTGATCAATGTGCGGCCCATGCTGATGCGGCACCGCTCCCGTGCCACCGAGGGCATGCACTGCATCACCATGGGCTGGGGTCAGGTCTATCCGGTACGTACATCTGCAGAGATTGTTACTAGTTCCTCCAGCTATTCCTTTACAGCACGGACCCTACTCAAATGTAATCATCTATCTGGAGGTGATGATTCGGAATCATAGTTTCTGCGAGGGCAAGGTTACATCGTACAACAGACGCGGACATCTGTGCGCTGAGGCCGATTCCTTTGGCGCATTCTGTCCCGGCGATATGGGTGGACCGCTGATATGCCGCGACTGGCTGGCTGGCATCATTGGTGGCTCCAATCTCTGCGAGGGCGGCAAAGCCTTGAAGTTTACAAACTATTCGTACCACGAAAAGTGGATCAAGGGTACGGTGCTCGCACTCACAGGAGAGGCAAACGATCGGTTCTCTCCGGCTGCCACGCTGCTGTTACTCTCCCTGTTGATCAGCAGCTCATAATACAATAAAAAAAAGGATCCACAATCCCAGTTGAAACCGGGTGCTGCCCCGTCAGTGGGATGTCAACATTTATATTTGATAAAAATTCCCGAGTTAAAGTCTGAAAACGGTTTCAGGCTGCCGTGCAATTCTCTGGGAAAATGCATAAATCAAAAGCAAATTGAATTTCAGTCAGAGCCGGCTGCCACCGAGGCATTGGCGGCGCAACGCTGTTGATGTTGTGCCACCGCACCCGCTCCACCCCCTTTTCAATCCCCACTCCCACTCTGACAATATGTTGAGTAAGATGCCGTGGGGAGGCAAACGTGAGAGCACACAGCTCAGATCTGCTACGCTCCACTCCGACGATGTTGGGCTAAAAACTTTGCCAGGGCGCTTGCAGCTCATGCAACTTTAAAACAAAGTCTACTTAATGCAAAGCTCAAGGCGCCAGCCGCCAACACAAACAAAACCTGCGAAATTGCTCCTAAGTACTTATGGCAGTGAGAGAGAGAGCCCCAAACTATTAATTCCACTTTCAAAGCGTTTTGCCTCCCAACCAAAAAAGATGCCAGTATAAATGTCGGAAGACTACGCAGAATCGATAGTGCTGAGAGATCATAGTGCATAGTCTGGGGTTCAATTGCTTGTGATAAAAGGTTCCACCCCTCTCTCTTTGCTGTGGAAACTCACCACACATGATGGTCTGGTCTGGTCTGGTCTGGTCTCGCTGCAAAAAGGTAAAACAGAGAAAAATTTCTAAGTTTTCTTTTACGACGATTATTGGGTGCCAGCAACACTTTTCGCTGTTCAGTCGGTTGACGGCGCTCGTCAGGCTTTGTGTGTTCAATTGCTTAGAGAATTGTTGCGCCAGGATACGCATACCACCCGCCCATCCTAAGTGTGCTTAAATAAACAAATAAACAAGTGTTTGTGTTTGTGCATGAAAATTAAATGGAAAACTTAATGAATTCCGCATGAGGTGTGCGAGTGTTTGCAGTCCAAATTCGAAATAATTTTGGGTTTCCGTGACGGAATGTACACATAAATACCGCTGCGAGCTGGCGATATATTTACGTATCAAACTAATTGCATTCTAATTTAAATAACTTTTAATTAAAAACATGACCTCGTAATAAAGTAACGTGACCCCAAAAGCCGCATAGAGAGCGTGTGCAATAGTGTGTGTGTGTGTGTTTGTTTGTATGTGCAACTTCACTTCGATTGGGGAAATCAATCAGCAATTAGGAAGGCAAACCGAGGTGCGTATGTTCATTTACCGTGCAATTTATTAATTAATCGAATCTGGCGCACACACTGGCGAAATCTGAAGCGTTGAGGTTCAGCCTCATTAAGGTTTCATAATCACGAGACGGCAGGTATTTTCCTTCTATTCCGCCACCCATTTGCATTTGTAAACCAATGCACTTTGATTGCTGCTGCAACTATTTCCTTTACTCGTTTACCAGTTGCTTCTGCCACTCGAATAACTCCACTGTAAGCTGTGGGGAAAAGCTCTTACGTAAGTAAGAGTAGGAGTATGTGACCCAATGCATTGAACTCTGCCACCTCGCATTATAATACTTGGAGTGCTATCATAAAACGGCTTTTACTAATATCTTTCTAACAAGCCAACCCCATGGCAGAGAGCGTTAGTGGCAGCACAACACAATGAGCAGATAATGGGCGACAACACTTGGGCGGGGCGGTGCGACTTGTGCCTTTCAGCACATTGCGTATCGAGTTGCCTTCAAACGAGCTTGGGACAGCAAATTCGAGCGCCTTGACTCGTGTCCATTGGGCTAACATAATCGCACATGGGGGAGAGACACACACACAGACAGACAGAGAGTCCAAGCGGGGGGTATCGAGTTTTAATGACCCACTTTCGGGCTCAAGACTGTTTAACTTTTGCTGCACAGCGCCATGGGTTTGTTCTAATTCCGCCGGACAGTGTAAATCCCAGGGCAGAGCAATTAGCAGTGGCCAGTGGCCAGTGGCCAGTGTCCAGTGGCCAGTAGCATGAATGGACGATAAAGGCGGCAAAGCGGTACGTACGTACGCTGCCAATACGTAGATATTGTCAAGGAAAACAAATGAGTTGAGTTCGCCCCGCAGAACTTGTGGGGCTTCCATGGGTAGCTGCACTTCGGCCCTCAAGAGAGATGTCTATTCAGCACAGAAGACGGAGAAAGAGAGGCAACAAAGAGACAGAAAGAGAAAGAGAGTGTGACTGAAAGTCATTACCCATTGATATACACTTTATGTTGTAGCTAAAGAAACTTTTTGTTTTCGTTTCATTTTGGTTTTTTGTTGACAGCATGGAAAAGACTCAAAGACAGCAAAAGAAACAAACAATTAATGAAATTAAAAAGTGACAACAAAACTTAATCCAAGGCGTCTTTCAGGGGAAAGCTATTTAAAGCAATCAAAATGTAAAGATTCTCCCATTCGTAATAAACTAAAGCCCAAAGTTGGGTCTCTCTCCTCTTTGGGCAAGCAATTTACGGTCCCAAACTAAATTCATTTGTGGGCTAAAAATAATGGCAAAAATTCCTCAGGCTGCTGCAATACTCATTAATTTGGTAGATGTCACATATTCCTTGCAAGTTGCTAGGACTTTTCCCGGTCCCGGTCCCGGTCCCTTGTCCCTGCCACATGTAATACCAGTACCAGTAGGGCCATGCCACACACAGGCACACACGTGCACATATGTACACACCAAATACATAAATGTATGTACGTACAATATGAATGCATAATTGGAACATAAAATTCCAAAAATATTTTACAACATCCTCTGTGGTACCCTCCCCCAGCCACACACGTACGTTTCTGTGTGTGTTGGTGAGTGATATTCATGGTCATATGGCCTGCTGCCTTCATTTATTCATTCACAGCACAGCGCCTGAAGGAGGTCTCGTGCTTGGCCTGGCCTGGCCTGTGCCGCCCACCGCCCACCGCCCCCACAAGCACACAAGCATTTCCGACAAACGGGCAGCGAAGATGGACCAGCGTAATCTAACACTGCCACCGCCAGCCGCACCAACAACAATTATGTCCTCGTCATCATCAGCAGCCACAGGAGCAGCAGCAGCAGCGGCAGTGGGCGCAGCTCTTCTGGTGGAAGCAGCAGGCGGACCCACCACATCGGCACTGGCGAGTATCGCAGCAGCAGCAGCAGCAACAACAACCATAGCATTAGCCACAACAACGACGCCGACAACAACCACGCCGGGCACATTTTTTACATACAGCATACCGGGCATGGACATAGCGCCAGGACCATTTATATTCACCTACGTTAGTGAATTTTTATCGCTTATCACGCCCGAAGAATTGCCGCTCGGTAAGTCCTGCCCCCTGCCATGTGTGCCCAGCCATTCACTGAGAGAAAAACCTATCAGCAAGTTCAGAAAATCGCCCAAGGGACTCGCTTTGTTTAGGTCTGTAAACGAGAAAATCATTTTCCGAGTGCATTTGTGTGAGGGTTCAACAGTGGGTGGTTCCACCTTCAGTTCAGAAATTTAAGCATGCTAAGGATGGTGCCTGATTGGGCGTATCCATGACCAAGCTTACAGCATACACAGCTGTAAGATATAAGAATAGAAGTTGTCTCGAAAGCAGACCAAAGTCAGAGTCGGCCTGTCTATAGCCAGCAAATCCATAGCTAAATATGTTTTGTTTTTTTTGAATCTCTGTCTAAATTGCCAAATGTCCAATGAGGAGAACTTGCTACAAAGTTTTATGAAAAAGTATGGCGTGCAGGAGGATGTTGCCCGTCACTATCTGACAGCCAATGACTGGGCCTTGGAGCGGGCCAGCTGCACATACGAGTCGGACACGGCCGCGGGCAGCAGCAATGCCATTGAAACGTCCAGCACAGACCAGCAGGATGATGGCACCGAGGATAACTTTGCCGCAAGCTCCACCAACACCCTAGTCCAGTCGGAGAAACGTGTCAGCATCGAGAACTCCACTCCGGCCCTGACCAATTTGGACAGCAGCCGCAGCATGCGTGCCTGGGGGCAAGGCCTGCGTCTGGGCAGCGCTCATCCGATCAATCCGTTGCCGCCACGGCGCCCAGCTCAGGACTCGGACACGGAGAACACGGAGAACGACAGCGAACAAACGATTGTGGTGCTGAATCTCTGGTCGGAGGGCTTCTCCGTGGACGGTGGCTCGCTCCGGCTGTACGATGTGCCGGAGAATGAACGTTTTCTGCGCTCCATCCTGCGCGGGGACTTCCCCCCGGAGATGCTGCTTCTGGGCCAAAGGTTGGAGCTGAGTGTCCAGGATCACACCAACGAATCCTACAGGCATTTTACGCGCAAACAGTTTCTGGGCTCAGGGCGCCCGCTGGGCAATCCCTCGAGTCACTTGGATATAACTCCGCCACCGGAGTCATTGGACAGGCGCCAGGAGCAGCATGCAGAGGGCAGACTGAACTTCGACGAGAGGTCAGCCATGACCACTGTCCAGCTGCGTCTCTCCGATGGCAGCCGCATCTCGGCCCGCTTCAATCCCACCCACAATGTGGGCGATCTCTACCGCTACGTCCGCCTGGCCCGACCCGAGTACTCCCACCGCAGCTTCGTGCTGATGACGAGCTTTCCCCGCCAACAGCTGGACGAGACGGATGTCCGCACCCTGAACGAGGCGAATCTTTGCAATGTAGTCATCATCCAACACATGCACGAGGCACAGCCCGAGCAATCCTTCAGCGACTTTTCTGATGTGAATCTTGACTAAATCTGAATATAGACAGCGAATTTAGCCCCTTTTTTCCTAGCATTTGATTAAAGATTTCCTCAAATCGAATATTTGCAGATTCCATACGCGATGTTCTACACAAAAATGTCAGCCTGCTCGACTTTGCCTCGAATGTAAGTCCAAGGTTCTGTGGCTAAGAAAACAAACTCAAGTCTAACCGTAACCTACCCTTTCAGGCCATCAAAATCGAATCCGGTTTCATTGGCCTGATGAGCATCTTTGCCATCCTCGCGCTGGTACCGCTAATCGCCACCTGTGCCTGGTGCTGTGGCCGCCGTGCCACCCAGGAGGAGGTGGACCACATACGCAGGGCACCCGTTCACATACGCGACGAGGCGCTGGAGGAGAGTCTGCGGTGCCGCAAGAGCGCCGGCCTGGTCACACTCTGGATCATCTTTGTGCTGCTCACGTAAGTCTGCGGATGGAAGGTTTTGCAGGAGACAAGACGGGGAAGGAGTGACTTTTTCATGGCTATTTTGCAGGCTGAGCGACCTTAGCATATTTTATGCCAATAGCCGACTCTCCGCTGGCATCGAGATGACGCCCGAAATGGTAAAGTCAGCCGTGCACGATGTGGAGGTCTTTCTCAAGGACACACATCTGCAGATCAAACACAAACTGGATAATGGCTTTCATGTTTCCGTTGAGAGAGTCGTCAAAGACTTGGAAGGTTAGTCGAGGATTGTGGCGATGGCCCTGGATTAGAGGCGTCATAAAAGTTTCTTGCCAACTTTGTGTCGCCTCGCCACGAGCACATTTATAGCATTCGATTCATGCATTATGCTAAAACTTTATCCGCACTGCATTCTGAGTTATTGTCGTGGTTCTACTCCTTGTCCTCCCATGAATTTCGTGCTAAAAAATACTGATATATTTACTGTATGCCGTGTGCACTCTTCCACAGACGTGGATGTTCTACTCGGTGAGCCGATTCAAGCGGAAATATCTGCACACACTGGCCTTGAGCTGGCATATGATTCATTGACGACACTTAGCCTGGGTGAGTATTATGGTTAAGTGCTAACCGCCCTGCCCCCTGGTCCAGTTGCGATTGTCCGGCTGCGGACTTGACCCAAATTCCATTGTTCATTGTGGCATGAAAATGCCTGCGATGGCCATGCAGGCCTAGCTGCGGTCATGTTGCACAAACATGACAATAAACAAGCACCCAATAAATTAAAACGCTCTCGCACTCAGAGGGCGTAGCCAAATGGTGGTTGACCTTTCATTTGCGGTTTCGGGTCAACCCGTTTAAATTTAAATTTGTACCTCAACCCAATGGGAATAAGCAGCCCACAAATGTGTATTCATTTATGTTGGTAGATGTGCTCAAGCTAAACAAGCAAAGCAATTGATGAGACTGAATTGGAGTGGGAGAATGCAGGCGGTGGGAGGCATTTCCGGCTGCCACAAGAACCCATGAAAGCGCCAATAAGCTTTGCAGCCGGGTGACAGGACAAATGGCAAGATGACAGCTCCATTATGTTTGCCTTCGAGCACAATGTGCAATTTTGAATCAGTCTTCTTTGATCCCGTCTCCCGGTTCCCGGTTCCCGATTCCCCACTGCCAGTTCCCAGCACCCGATTCCGTGCCTCATGGCCGAATAAATATGCTATAATAATAGTCGAAATAATAATATTTTCGTACATTTGTCGCTGTCAGCGAATGCGGAGCTCATCTATCGCGTCCTCATGCTGCAGGAGACTGTCGGCCGAGCCCTGAAGCTCTCCCAGGAGGCAACGGCACGCATGGAGGAGCTGCAGATACAATTGTCGGTGCTGCAGCGCCAGTGCACGTACAGGGACCGGCCGCTATGCGACACATTGCGTATACGCAGCTTCGAAGAGAACGGCGTCGTCGATGCCCTGAAAACTGTAAGTCTTTGTCTCTCTCTCTCTCTTTTCTAAAAGGTTTAAATAATTTTCTGCTCTTATTTATCATCGTTCTCATCGCTCTCTTTTTTCTGTTTTGTTTTCTTCTAATTTTGCCCCGCCATTTCTCATTTCCTGGACACAATGAACGAATTTGTCAGCTGCAAGAGGACCAGAGCATCTTCCGTATGCGCTACTTGGGCGAAATTGAATTTGGTGCCACTGTCAAAAATCTGACATCGGAAGTTGGTGTGTCACGTTCTATTTTCAGCAATTTCCCGCAACAAGTTAAACATGACACGGCATATGAGCGGAACTGTGAGTAAACCAATCAAAATAAAGTAAAATAATAAAAATATAAGACAAAAGCGGGGAAGCCCCCACGGTCGCCGACGCATCCCTCTATTGTTAATTTGATTTTTTAATAATTTTGCATTAATCGATACTTATCACGAAATACGAATTGATTTTTCCTAATAACAAATGGATGGCACTGTTGACTGAGTTAGAGACCGGAGAAGAAAAGGCACAAGAACATAAAATATCTTAAAGCGACCCAAATAGACCCCAGACTATTTTGTATAATAGGAAGAAAATATATGATAGATATGTAGAAATGGTGGATTTTTTTTCTGAAAATGATTGAATATATGCATTTTTCGACTTTCAAAAATGGGAAGAACAAGGAAAATAAGTGTATAATTAAAGGATAAATGAATTCATGAAATATTTATACAGAATAGAATAAGAATAAGAACAATTATGATATAAAAAGAGTATGGTGCAAACTCACCATCAGATATTCTCTCTTTTGATGTTCTCTTATTCTGTTTCAAATCAAAGAGAAACAAACGCAAATGTCATACATATTCCGCTTGTTGTAAATTCTTGCGGTAAATGTCATATTTATTGTTTCCACGCTTTAATCAGTTTTGAGGGACATTTTATTGTCTTTTTTTTTTTTGCCGTATCCGCCTGGCTCTCCTTGCCGTCATAATGACCATCGACACAAAAACTTGCAGTGTACACCGAGTGAGATTTTTTCCGCTCTTTCTTTAGTCTTGCGGGACATTCAACTGTATTTATTCTGTAACTCACTCTAACACTGCAGAAACTTTTCACTCACTTTTTCCGTATCCGCCTGGCTCTCCTTGCCAACATAATGACCATCAACACTAGCACTTGCACTTAACACTGAGTGAGATTATATTTTCCGCTCTTTCTTTAGTCTTGCGGTACATTAAACTGTGTTTACACTCAACTCACTCTTACACTGCACTCACTTTGGCCGCAACCGCCCGGCCCTCCTTGCCGTCATAATGACCATCGACACTGACACTTGCACTTAACACTGAGTGAGATTTTATTTTCCGCTCTTTCTTTAGTCTTGCGGTACATTCAACTGTGTTTACACTCAACTCACTCTTACACTGCACTCACTTTGGCCGCAACCGCCCGGCCCTCCTTGCCGTCATAATGACCCTCGACACTGACACTTGCACTTAACACTGAGTGAGATTTTATTTTCCGCTCTTTCTTTAGTCTTGCGGTACATTCAACTGTGTTTACACTCAACTCACTCTTACACTGCACTCACTTTGGCCGTATCCGCCTGGCTCTCCTTGTCGTCATAATGACCATCGACACTTGCACTTAACACTGAGTGAGATTTTATTTTCCGCTCTTTCTTTAGTCTTGCGGTACATTCAACTGTGCTTACACTCAACTCACTCTTACACTGCACTCACTTTGGCCGTATCCGCCTGGCTCTCCTTGCCGTCATAATGACCATCGACACTTGCACTTAACACTGAGTGAGATTTTATTTTCCGCTCTTTCTTTAGTCTTGCGGTACATACAACTGTGCTTACACTCAACTCACTCTTACACTGCACTCACTTTGGCCGCAACCGCCCGGCTCTCCTTGCCGTCATAATGACCATCAACACTAGCACTTGCACTTAACACTGAGTGAGATTTTATTTTCCGCTCTTTCTTTAGTCTTGCGGTACATTAAACTGTGTTTACACTCAACTCACTCTTACACTGCACTCACTTTGGCCGCAACCGCACGGCTCTCCTTACCGTCATAATGACCATCGACACTAGCACTTAACACTTAGTGAGATTTTATTTTCCGCTCTTTCTTTAGTCTTGCGGGGCATTTAACTATATTTGCTTGTAACTCACTCTAACACTGCACTCACTTTCCACTCACTTTTGCCGAACCAGCCTGGCAACGCCGGCACTGATACTCACTCTCACAGAAAAAAAAGCAAAACAACTTAAGAGCCATGCTCGATCCCGTTACTTTTTCTCGCCCTCTTTCCACTGGAATTCTTATGACTTGAAAAGGGTGGGGGAGAGGGAGACATCGCTAAAACTGCGACGCAATTGTCATTTTTCGGGCATATTTTCGCACAGAGAAAACATTGAAATTATTATTTTTCACACTTGCTGTGATATTTTTTTTACTTTTGCCAACGCCTTTAGCTCTTCCCCTCGTGGGGTTGCACTCTTGGGATGTGACCCATTGTTTTCCCGTAGTTTTTGCACAAATTTTACCACTTCTCCGGCAGATATTACTTTAAAACACTTTCTACACTTATCACACTCATTTTTTCACTACTTTCAGAACTTTTCCACTGTTTATTAATATTTTTTCCTCTACGAAATTGAAAAACGCGTCGGCGCCGGTAACTTAAATGTCACTGTTGCTCTCTTTTCACTCAAATTAATTTGACTGCAATCGGCGATGGCAACTGAGAGCGGCTTTGCTTTTACATTGTGTGTGTGAGTGTGTGTTGTTTATTTTGCGAATGTACTCGAATCTACGTATGTATGTATGAAGAAGATGCGATGCGATCATCAGCAAGAAAAAAGCTTTGAAGAGTTTTTTTTACCGTTGGTCCTCGTTTCCTATTGCTTGCGATGTCAGTAGGGCGTAAAGAGCGCGGCATTGTTGTTTTTGCAATCTGTGCTTCTTGTTGCAGTCTGACAAATGTAAAGAGAACGCTAAGAGAGCACTCTTTCGGATAGGATTGAAGAACTCTTTGCCAAAGAATGTTTGTTATTGGTGATGCCTTGAATTGTTATTGGTACCACCTTCCTTGAATAGTTTGGGGTGGGGCGGAGATGGGAAGTCTATTTATAGTGAAGAGTTCTTATTTTTGATCCTCTCTTCCCAACCATTTCACTGACCTGAAGAAGTGGAGGAAGCGAAGAGAGCAGTGATTGAATGAAGTGCTCAACTTCGCAGAGAGGATTTAAGAGCGTATTTGCGTGTTTTCTTTTTGCAGTTGCTTTCGCTTGTGGCTTCAGTGTCCGTGCTGTACTGTAAATAAAGACAAATACGTATGTTCATAACCCAATAACCCAAGATATTTTTTTGCGACTCACCACAAAAGCATCACACACAAATCCATGCATTGGACATGGACCAAGTCCCAAACTCGATTATGGCGTCAATTTAACTGTACAACTCAATCAATGGCACACATCCACCCATTCCACAGCCCATATCCCACTCACATAACTGTAACAGGTAACGGGTATCTAAATCCAATAAACCCATGAATCTGACAATGCAATTTCCGAAACAAAGCGGATAAGAGAGCGGAGAGATGTGTAGGCAAGGCACAGCAAAGCTCAATATTAATTAGTGTCACCTGGTTCTGGTCTATGGATGCTAATTGAATTGGCGTAAACTTTCCCCCACAGATACCCTGGAGCAGTTGTCGAGCATTCGCCACAGGACAACGGCCAATGCACAGCAGCTGACGTCGGCCATCAATGTGGTGCTGAAGCGACTGGAGGGCACCTGGCCCTCGCTGCAGCCGGCCTACAATGAGCTCAAGGAGTGGGCCGACATGTACTGGAGCATGGGCTGGATAGCCGCCATGGTCATCATCTGGGTGATGCTCTTTATGCTAATGTCCTACTGCTGCTTCCTCTGCGAATCGAACACCAAGTCCGGCGTCGTCTTCTTCGTGGCCGTGCTGATCATCTGCCTCGCCAGCATCGCCCTCACCTTCTACGGCATCTTCTCGCTGGCCGTCGGCGGCAACACGGAGGTCTTCCTCTGCCGCTCACTCTACGACAAGGACTACGACATGCTGGGTAAGCTATTCGACAAGCCCGGCTATGTGTATGCCCGCGAGCCCCAGACGGGCATCATTGGGGAACTGCTGCGACCCGCAGGCGTCAATCGGTCTGTTGTGAATGTCAGCCTAGGCAGCGCGCTCAGGTGAGTCGCGCAGTGCACCAGCCAACCCCGGGTGCAGCCCATTAATCTCTGTGTGTAAACTTAGAGTTCCCGTTCCCAGGTAGCCCAACAACCAAAGTACCCAGCCAGCCAGCGTTGAAGTAACGAATTTTGTTATCCAATTACTTTGATACTGTACGTGCCTGTAATTTTGATTGAACGCCCTGCCCAAAAAGTTCCCTGAGAACGCGACCATTGCCACCCCGTAAGAAATATAACAAAAATGCTTACACAGTCGCATCGATTAAGAGTTCTTCCCAGCGGTGTACACACTGTTCTACTCGATTAATGTAATGTACGTTCGAGGCAACACTTGTAAATTCCTTAAATGCTAATCAAATGATTGGAAGAGCCTCTTAAGCGATCCCACTGTGATTATCCCTTTCTGTGTTTATCTGCCCAGCCACTCCCCAGCCACTTATAACTTTCATTTTGCCAAAACTTGTCACTGACCAAAATTCACACACAGACAGCTAAAGCCACAACGCAATCTCTGTAGACTGCAGAGACTACAGAACTTATTCGGCTTCAAATCCCATTCAGTCCCAGAGCAGAGAGCACAGTACACAGGCCTGTCAGGCAGCAGTCGGAGTCGGAGTCGGAGACCGACCGACCCTAAGCCACAAAGTTTTGAAAGCCCAATGAAATTTGCTAGCCACATGGCACTCAATTTTACGAAGAACATACCAATGCCAACGCCAATACAGCCACAAGCACCCACCCACACCCACATGCACGCACTGCCACACACACAGAAGTTGTAACCGCAAATTTTAAGCACGATTCCAATTATCTGAACAGATACAAAATGCGCATGCAAGCCTCCCCCCCAAGCTGCGTGTGTGTGTGCATGTAAGCTAAGAGCTGGTGTGTCCGAAAAGTAGCACCAATTTTAGACCCACAAAATCCGTGCCCAAAGGCAACTCTCCTTTGACTCCTTTGTATTTCCCTTTGGCGAACTGCAACTTTTGTATACCGTAAACAGAGGCTGCGAACAAAATCAAGCGTCGTACAATGTCTTTCAATTGGATGCATTCGTGAATACCACGAAAATCGCGGATTTGAAACAATTTCCAAAAGTTTCGACGGCCATCGATGCAATTTCCGTGTCGGGCCGCACGCTGCTCTCGCTGACCCAATCCGTACAGAACATATTGGAGAATATGCTGCAGACATCCTCATTCAATCTGACCACATATCGCAGCAGTGTGGGTGCGCCCACGCCCGAAAAGGATTTGGCCACATTCATCGATCAAATGCAGCGAGTAGCCCTACAGGTACGTACAGGCGTACTCCATCTGCTGACAGCCGCTGATTAGGTTCCATTTCAAATGGAAATGGCGCAAAAACAAATCCTTTCCCCATCCGTTTTGCCTTTTCAGATTCAGGACGTCGCCACATCATCACGCATGACCACCCTGGGCAGCCGCTCAAAGCGCCTGCAGGCCTCGATTCTGCAGCCATTGGAGAATCTACAGAATGAAATACTGTACCATCTGACGGCGCTCGAACTGCAGCGGGATCCGTGGGCCAAGCAGGTGAATCAGACGCTCAATCATCTGAAGAGCATTCAGGGCTACCTCGAGAACAAGGCGGGCGAGATATGCCACAACATGACACGACTCTACACGGACCGGTGAGTCATCCCAACGAAGGGGATTATAAATTATAAACAAAGGCAAACACAAACGCACGCAAATGTGCATCGTTGGTTCGAGTTAATTGCTGCAAAAATCTCTCAGAGATTCTTTGCCAAAAGTTACGGTCACACCCCAAATTGCAAGGTGCGTTTACTAACGAGGTGACGTTCGTTGTCCGCTGTGGGCAGGATCAATACCTTACTCACCTCGCGCAGAGCGAGACACTCGCTAGAAAGTGATGGAGAGAGAGATATTGCTGCCCTGTGGTGAAGACGCCACCTTGCAAGTAAATTCACCTTGGGTCGTGCCATTGTTGTGCTGCTGCAGAGAAAACAAACAAAACTCAAACAAACTGCTACAAAAGCGAAGCGGAAGAGCTGCACATAGTTTTCCCCTTTTATCAGATAATTGAAAGTCGTAATCGTTTGATTAAGTTTGCCCAAGTGGCATGATTGCATTCTCCTTGTGTTTGTGCAGCAAAAACGAAACAAAACACATGCCACGCCCCTGCTGCCATTTCGTATTTTCTCTGGTCTTACCCTCCACAGCCTGAAAGCTTACTTGACCAGCAGTCGCGCCACAATGGAATCACAGCTTGGGGACACCACCACCAAGTGCCGACCCTTCTACGACACCTTCGATGCCAGCCGCACGTTCCTCTGCCGCAACATGGTGGACTTTGTCAATGGGTTGACCTTCTTCATCCTCCTCACGCTGCTGCTGTGGGCCATTGGCACGCCCGTGGGCCTCAATCTGATCACCATACAGACACGCCTGAATGTGATGCAAGCGGCACAGGCACGCAGCAAGAGCAGGCAGCGACGCAGCGATCGCAGTCCGGATCGGGAGCGGGAGCGAGAGCAGCGCAGCGACAGTCGCGGTAGGAAGAAGCAGCGAACGAGCAGTGTGTCGGCCACAGGCAGGAGTGCACGCAGAGAGCAGAGCAGGGAGCGTAGCACCAGTAGCACGGCACGAGCAAGGCCACAGCTGTAAGTAGATCCGCATCGGGAATGAGATTAATCTGAAGAATTGATATCCCTCCCACAGACGTCGCACCGCCACGGAGGAAACCCTCGACTTGGACGATGATTCGACACCAACTAGACAGCCGCAGCAGCAGCAGCAGCAGCCACCGCAACGGCGACAGGAGCAGAATCAGCGGGAAATGGATAGAGAGCGGGATCAGCATAGTCGGGAACGGGAACGGGAGCGGGAGCAGAGTCGCGGACGTGAGGTGTCGGCCATCAATACGCCCGTGCGTAGTCGCAGCCGTCAGCAGCTGTGAGTATTTCTTGAGCTCGCTTGAGTCGTTGCATCAATCCATCAGACTCATTTCCATCATTTGCATCGGACTGCGGCAGGCGGCACGATCCCGAGGAGGACAACTGGGGCTCATCCAGTGGTCCCAGTCGGGCCACATCCAATGAGCGCGAGACCAGTCAGGCTAGAAAGATTCTCAATGTTTGGCAGTCGGGCAGAAATAAGATCAAGCCACCGACGCTGTAAGTTTGTAGAATGCCCCCACAGTGTCCCCCTTTTGACAGCCGATCTCTGGTTTCCCCCCGCAAAACAGTCAGCGGCAGGGCACCGAGGAGTACGACTTTGATGTGGCACCCGATGACATTGGCTGGCGTTCGCATGTCCAGTCCAGTGTCAGTCCCGAGCAACGCAGCCGTCAGCCGCCAGACACTCGCTCCAATCTTCGTACTAAACAGAAGCTGTAAGTCTGCCGCCCCCCGACCCGCCACCGCCCCCGCGTGTCCCATGGCTCTCACTCTCACTCTGTCTCTCAGACGTAGTACCAATGCGGATAGAGCTAGCAGCGAAATGGTGCGTCGTCCCGTAACGCCCGTCTTGAGCGTTAATCCAGACATACCGGCAGCCATGCCCATGCCCCGCACACCGATGCGTTTGAGGAGCAAAGTCTCGCTGACTGCCCGAGCGGTGCAGGATATTGTCAACAAGCGGAGTCAGCGTCTGTGAGTGTCCCCGAGTACCAGACCCGAGTCCCACGCTCCATTCCAACTCTCACCCAGCCATAAGTAAAAGTCATTGCCAAATCGAAGTTTACATTAAAACTTGACTTATCCTTTTGCTTATCCTTTTGCCCCCACAGCCAACGCACTGGCACCGATGAATTTGACTTTGACGAAAGCGATGCCTATGGCACTGGAGCACATCTAGAGGCGGATGTGGCGGCGTAAGAAAGCTGCCCAAATGTCTTTTTTGAGTAACCAAATTCCCTTTTTCTTACAGCGCCCGACGCACGCCACCGCGCAGCGCTCCGCCGCCCCCGCCTCCGCCAGCGCCCGGCATGAACAGGTTCTACCAACGTTATTAACCATTGTAAACCGTTTGACGACGTTTTGTTTTTTGTGGTTTGTCTCTTGAGTTTTTGTTTATTATTTTGATTTAGTTTTGATTAATTTGTTGGTGTTTTTTTTTTGTTGATGTTGTGCGAAAGAAATGCCAGTGACCAAAGTGCCAGTTACCAATCGAAACAAACACACACACAACTTTCTTATTGTGTTCACAGCGACAAAGCCTATATATTCTGAAATCTCCAAACTTTCTCTCCCCGCAACCAAACTGACTACCCGGCGCAGAGGCCTGAGCGTGCGCTGGCACGAGGAAGACGAGGACTTGGTCTTTGAGGATGTCGATGCGCCGAAAAAAAGCTAAAAAAAATCTAACCTAAGTGCCCACACGAATTTCTAAGGCTAAAACTAAGTCTCGTCTTGCAAAATTTGTTTTATATTTCGCTTCTGATAGATAGCCCATAGACTCACCCACCGATGCGTGGGTTTCATTATGTTTTAAGCATTTAACAAGGTGTATCAAACCTTTAATAAATAAAGTAAAATCATGCCTTGAAAGATCTGCCTTGAGGTGTGAGAAGTGCAAAAGATCGAGCAGCTTGGATCGTTTCTAAAGGCTTTGAAAGGGTAAAGGGTTCTCTACGTCTCAGCTTCACCATCGATTGTCGTGGAGTAGCTATACGATTATATTGCAGTCTCGGAGCTAAAGTTTCGCTTAATTGTTTGCTTTATTTGGTTGTCAAACTTGTTCAGAATCGTTTCAAAAGTTACGCCACGGTACACGCGTTTACTTCTTCTTCAGGAATGGGCTGACGATGGCTGGAGCGGCAGCGGCATACGTGGTGTACGCAGGAGCAGCTGCAGCATAGGTTGTGTAGGCAGGAGCAGCAGCGGCATAGGTCGAGTAGGCTGGAGCAGCAGCAGCGTAGGATGTGTAAGCTGGAGCAGCAGCAGCGTAGGATGTGTAAGCTGGAGCGGCAGCAGCATAGGTGGAGTAAGCTGGAGCAGCAGCAGCATAGGTGGTCACGGGTGCCGAGTAGGCCACAGGTCCAGCGGCATAGGTGGCAGCATACGAAGGAGCAGCAGCATAGGTAACCGGCGAAGCCAGGAAGCCAGCCTGAGCGACGGCGAAGCAGAGAGCAAAGCAGATGATGAACTGCAAGGAGAAATGGTGAGGGAAACGTTAGCCAAAATGGAACATCGTTCTGGACAGCAGCCTGCGGCTTACCTTCATGTTGAACTGTTTGGGTTTGGTTGGTTTGTCAGCGACTGATGCTGTTTGCCAATTAGCTCGATCGTTTTATAGGCCAATCTGTGATTGGGGGGAGGACGGACCCCATTGCCCAAACGGGTTTACGGCTTAGGCCTTGGCAATAACAACCGAAATCTAAATTAGAACACAATTGCGTCCGCATTGAGTTTTCTGCATGGTAACGTTCAATGAACGCGGCCGCCGCCGCACCTTTTGTGACCAGAATCCGCAGCGTTCGATGTTTGCCGGGTATTAGCAATCGATGTCCGCTGGCTGTCCATGTCAAATGGATTACTCTTTCCCTGCTCTTTCGCTTGACAACTGAAATGAAATGAATTCTGATTACTGATTGTTTGTTGATTGCTGTGTGGGCAGAGAACTCACCTGGCGTCGGGTATGCCACCTCCTCGCTGATTATTGTCATGAATCGATTGACCATCGTCTCTGCATCACTCTTATCATTTAGTTATGGATTAATTCTTTGGTATTTGTGCTTAGCGTCATAATATTAACAGAGATTATTATGCATTAATGGACTAGAATGGAACTCTCTCTCTCTCTCTCGGTTCACTTTCTTCACTCTTTTGAAGCCATTGCTATACGCCTTTTTGTACATTTGTCTCTCTCTCTCTCGATCTTAATTATTAATTAATGAATTAAAGTGTTTTTCCAAGCCAACAACAACTCTCCATTATTAAGGCACTTCTTGGACTCCGCACAGCAATCAAAGTGCAATCCTACGCGCCAGCTTCTGGCAGCGGTCGAGCTGGAGCTGTCGTTAGCACAATCTCCCTTGGCCGCTTGCGTCGCACTTCAATCTCGTAGAGCGCCAGTCCAAACTGATGCACAAAGGAGCTAAACTGGCGCGTCAGGTAGAAGTAGCTGAGTGCTGGCGGCTGCTCCACGGCACAGGTGCCGCGCAGATCGTCGTGCGACCAGTGTGGGGCATCCACATCGCAGGGATGGCGACCCTGGATGCGGGGAAATGCCTCCGTGGAGAGATGTGGATAGAAGACGTGCAGCAGCTCAAAGTTCAGATAGCTGCTGGCATTGGAGCGCACCAAGGCCTCGTGGAGATCGCTGCTTAAGCTGGCAGGAATGGACAGATAGAGCTTGTAGCGCAGTCGACTCGGTCCCGATAGCTTGACCTCACAATTGCCGCTAATCAGCTTCACCTTGTGCAATAGATTGTCTAAGGGCTGGCTGCCGTACTCGTACAGGAAGAAGTCCCGCTGGCGTCGATAGCGGCTGTGGGTGCGCGGATTGAACTGGAGCACGCGGGAGCTGGGAATGTTCACCAGATGCAGGGGCAGACTGTAGACGTGCGAGGTCATCAGGTGAACGTGCGTGGCCGCTGGCTTGGTGGCCATCACATGGGCCATGTTCTCGGCCAGCGGATAGATGCCCGCCTGATGGATGAAGCCAAAGAAGAGCGTCAGCACGACGTTGCTCACATACCAGATTCTCAGCAGATGCGGGGCCGAGGCTTTGCTGCAGAGCAGCCGATCGTAGAACGCTCGCAGCAGATGATGCTCCTTCTGGAAGGGATACTTGGCACTGAAGCCAGTGACCAGCTTGGGGGCATGCAGCAGCAGCAATGGGAAGGTTATGGGTATGAGAAAGCGCGGCTCCTGATGGTTGATGAGCGACAGGAAGAAGAGCGGCACAAATATGGCACCCGACATGAGCGACACGATGCTCTGGAAGCGCGGCAGCACTTGGTACTCAGCACGAAAGAAGCGCAGGAGGATCTGTGCGAATGCACCCAAGCCCGCGAGGGCCAGCACATTGAAGAGCAGCGGCATGTTGACCATCAGATGGACATAGCACGGATGCACGCCATGGCTGGCTGTCTGCGCGGAGTTCAGGTTGTACTTGACAAAGTTCCAGGGCGTAAAGACAAAGTTATCAATGCCCAGCTGCATCATGTGCAGCTCTCCCACGGTCAGATGTTGATAGTACAGCGAGTCGCAGAAGATGAACACGAACAGCGCTGGCAGGGCGCACAGGCAGAAGAGTCCGATGCGTAGGTTAAAGTCTCGGAACGTAACGCTGCGTGTGCCCATGCCGCGCAGCAGCCAGTAGAAGACCATCGGGGCGCCAAAGAGCAGGAAGGTTGGACGATTGAACACGCCAGCCACACAGATGCTGGCCACGGAGAACATGTACTGGAAGTTGTGCGGCGGCAGGGCGTTCTTCAGCTTCCAGATCTTCACGCGCTCGCTGATGGACTCCGCCTTGTCGTACTTCTCCTCGAGGAACTCCTTTTTGTATATGACCGTGTTGGTCCGCAGCATGCACTCGGCCACCAGGCAGAGCAGCCACGAGCACATGGCCATCTCGAGGCTGTTGGAGAAGGTGCGCGTGCCAAAGACCAGCAGCACCCAGGAGCTGCCCAGCGCCAGCAGACGTATCTCAAAGCGCAGTCCGTACAGCCGGCAAACGCGATACAGACACCAGTCATTGCTGTACGAGATCAGGGTGTAGATTAGCCGCGGAAACACCACATACGCGTAGGTGGTGATTATCTCCACGTTCCACAGTTCCTGCACGTACATGGCAAAGAACTCGTAGAAGCTCCAGGGGACGCGCAGCAGCGCAAACGGCAGGGTGATGCTCCGCAGCGGCATCGAGTTGTTGAACTCCCAGGTGCGTGTGTGCTCCAGCCGAAAGTGATCACCTGCAAAAGGGAATTGTATAAATCTATGGCAATTAGCACGCTTTAGCCCCTCTCACCCGTCATCACTTCCACGCTCTGGAAGAACTCATCGGGATGCACATATCCAGGCTGCGGCACGAAAACCAGAGCCAGACGCGCCACCGCAAAGAAGAAATATGTGTTGAGGTGTCTGTCGGTGGGCACACGGTTCTGCCAAAGCTGCGAAATATGTCTGGACAGGCGCATATCTCTGCCGTCACGCTTATTTGCTTATTTTTTCTACAGCGAATCCTTTTTTTTTATTTTTTTGTTTTGGTATGGTCGTACGGATGAAACCAGTGTGACCGCGGAATTATCGATAAAATATACTCTTGCATTTTCAAAATATACTGTAAATATACCGTAGTCTTAAATCATATTCCTCGATTTTGATGTTCTATTTAATATTAACAGCCACTTAGGAGTCTCCGCGCTAAAACTATAATTTTATCGCATTTATCAATCAATTCTACACAAGATTGGTGAACTTATAGAAAACAATCTAATAAGGCTTGCCAATAAAATAGGGTTGAAGAGTCCCGTATCATGGTAATACAATGTCATAGTTTGACAGGAACCAGTTCCACTGAAGCACACAGTTTTGAGAGCATTGTAAATTTGAATTTAAATTTTCTGATTGATTCACGAAGCTGCTAAATAAATACACGAAAAGCACACACTCGCATAATCAAATGCACTTGGGTGCGCACTCAACCAATTATGCTTCTTCTCTCTCTCTCTCTCTCTCTCTGATGACGTAGTTTGCGGTTTTGCGGGTGCTAGGAAATGCGATATCGGCTTACAGTTATACAAGCCTGAATTGGCGGCTAAATAGTTCAAAAACGCACCCAACAGGCAGGCAGGCACACACGATTGGGTGCTGGGTTGGCCCATTGACAGACAGAGCGTCTGAGTGGCACACGGGCCAGAGATCGGAGCTCACAACAGATCAAAGTCAGTATCGAGTGGGGCTCGTGGGTGATCATCTCTCGATCTGTCGATCTTTTGCCTACCCCAAGCACATAAAACGTGTGCACGCTCAGCTAGCAATTAAATTGAATTTACCTACTTGAGAGCAGTCGATGGGCAGTCGCCAGTCTTGGGTCCGCGTTGCCCAGTTCGCGTTCCAAAGTCTCCAAGTGCAGCGCCAGTCTCCAGGCAGCTCCAAGTTTCATCTACGCGCGCGATTAATTAGCAAATTTTTAATTCACGTCTATTTATATTTTGTGTGGAAGTGAACTTGAGTCTTTATCGCTCGACAGCAGCTCTGCAAATGGTAAACAGCTTGAAAGCTGCACGAATTTCCAAGGAAAAGGGCCAAGAAATAAGCCCAAAAAAGTCTCAACAGTGACATTTAAATGCATTTTTTAAAGCCACAAGTCCCACCATTTAAAATTTAGATATAAAAATGCTTTTTAAACGTCTTTTAGGAGTTTCAAATGTATAAACTCACCCAACCATTTCCGTGTTAAATTGCTAAAGACACAAAACTTTGAGTCAACGCTTAGTCGTGTCAACTAAATTAGTGAAAAGAAAAGTTTTGTGCAGCATTTAGCTTGGGTGGCTTGGGTGCTTCGATGAGCAACAGTTTGTTGCAATTTAAGTTACGCTTTTGCCACCTGTCCGGCTCCGCACAGCCACGCCCCAACAGACACGAAGCGGCACTCGGGCTGCTCCTCCGGCCTGCCGAGGACTTCGTGGCGCCCGCCTGCGCATCGCGCGTATAAAAGGAGCCATCCGGCGGCAGGATGCATCAGTTGGCCCAGCGAAGCGGCGCGCGTTTCTCAATTCGAGTACCCAAGAAACCTGCAAGAGATTTTTTCAACTATTTCAAAGTGATTTTTGTATTAAAAGTGCTTAAGCAAGGGAAATAAAAGCGAAACGAATTTGTAATAAAAGTTTATAGAAAAGAGTAAGTGATTTATGACGAATACTTATGACAAACGAAAAGAGTTAATGGCATTTTATACTAAAATTGCATTAAAGAGAGTCCGCAAATGTTTTAGGAACTTAACCAGCAAAAGGATTTCGAGAAATTTCTATTCAAATTCCTTTGAAGAGAGCGAACAACAAAAGAACTAAACAATTTTAATTTTAACTTCTTTTAATTTGATTTAAAACACTCTTTTTTTAGATATTTTAAATTTAAATGTAATTTTTATTAAAAAACTCAACCCCTTTCCTGCTTGCCTCGAAGTTTCTTTTAATTGTTTTTCCATGCCTTCGTGGGTTGTCTTATCGAAATTCGCATTTTAACACCTCACCTCAACGCACATCTGCTGCCACACGCGCTCTCTGTCTTTATCGCAATTAAATGGTAATTAAAAAGAGTTCCCCAGCGAGTCAGGCAGCTACATCTACGAGAGGCAAAAACATTAATCAGATGACGTTAAGCCGTCGGCAGACCTCAGATAAAACAAAGGTGAAACCCTTACGGGCTACAATTGCAAATTTCAAACAAAGTTGAAGCCAATTGAAGGTTCCCATTTCAAAGCGATTAAAACCATAGTGCGGAGGTCATTTGGCGCTTTAAAACATTGACATTGAGTGGCGCTTTTTTGGGCCGTGGGACATTGATTGTGCAGCAAAAGGACACTGCAGGGAATCCGCAGTCGAAACTGTTGCAGGGTCGAATGGGCCGGGGCATGGCTACCCTTGAGCGGCTCAATAAATATTTAAGCCCATGGCAACCATTTAATCTGAATGCATTTAACGATTTGCAGTTAATGGCCAGCAGGGGCAACGAAGCCGCCGCCGCCGCATCCTCCAGTCCGACGGCGCCGTGCAGAGGCTGACGGGGGAAAAATGCGCTAAACGAGTGAGAGAGATAGAGAGAGAGCGGAAACTGCTGCAGCAAGGAGCAAGGACGAGACCTTGTACACACCCCTTTCGCCCTTGGCCACCCCCCCACCCACCCCGCTGAGCTGCGTGTGTAGCGTTTCCGGCTGGCTACGCTAGTGCCGCGATCGGCGTACACGGCCACGCCCCCCGCTAAGGCCCAGGCAGAGGCACAAGCAGCCGATTCCCCGATGGAGCACAGCTCGGAGTTCGGCGCCTCGACAGCGGGCAGGTCCACGGCCATGCCTTGGACGAACAACAAGGAATCGCCCAACAACGAGGATGACTCGAACGAGGACGATGGCGACACACTGGCCACACCCGCCAAGGTCACCGATCCGCTGGCACCGCGCCTGGCCAACAATGAGGTGAGCCCGTAGAGTCCTTTGCTGCCCAGCCTTTTGGTTTGCAATTCCTTTTGCCATTTTTTTTGCCTGCAGCGCGTGCTGGTCGTTTCCGTGACGGAGCGCACCCGCGAAACTTGGGGCCAAAAGGCCGAGTTCCTGCTGGCCGTCATTGGGTTTGCCGTCGATCTGGGCAACGTCTGGCGCTTTCCGTACATTTGCTATCAGAATGGCGGCGGTGCCTTCCTCGTGCCCTACTGCCTCTTCCTCATCTTTGGCGGCCTGCCGCTGTTCTACATGGAACTGGCTTTGGGTCAATTTCATCGCTGCGGCTGTTTGAGCATTTGGAAGCGCATCTGTCCGGCACTGAAAGGTGAGTGAAGGCAGCTTAATAAATATTCTTGAGGCTGTAAGGACAGGTACTAAAAGTGGGCTTAGTATTTGGTTAATATCCATTAAGAATCAGCTATGAAAGTGGATCGAAGGGTACTCCAAAACTCATATTAATGAAATGTTGTTTTAGCTTCCTGTTTCCTGCAGGTTTCTTGGCACATTTCTACAGCTAAAAAAGAGGAGCAACTTTGTCAGGCGCGCTCAAACGCGTCACTACTTTTATAGCCGTTACGCAGTCAGTAAATGCTCAGAAAATACCTTAACCGAATTGGGAAACAAAACTTGTTTGAGTGCGCTATAACACGAGTCTATGTGCAAAGTTTAGTTGCTGTAGCACTTACAGTCTCTGAGAACTAGGCATCCAACAAGACAGACGGACGGACAGTCGTACACTTGACTATTGATGCTGAACAAAGTACTTTCTCCGTTCCAGCACAAAGCTAATACACCCCTTGGCACGTCGAATGCCGTTGATAAAAAGCAAACCCAAAAAAATAATACACTCAGCCTCAAGGCAATTCCCCGCTTTAAATGCGCTTTAAAATGGCAAAATTGAAATGAATTGTAAATATGAAAAACGAAATTGCATATTGAAATCTATTAAAGCGTTCAATATTTGCACAAGATGTAACCCCCCCACCCCCGAGGGGACGGTCCGCGTGTGTGTGTGTTTTGTAATGAAAAATTAAGTATACGCCAGCACGGGGACATGTGGGGCCGGAGGAACGTGAACAGTCTGTGAAGTCTGCCTGGACATGTGGCGGGCAGGAGAGACTGGTCTGTGTTGTTGATGTCTGATACTTCACGCTCTGTTTGGCAATATTATCTGAGGGCTAAGCTGCCAGAGCAACCCGCACAAAAAAGCCAAAACCAAGGAGCAGCATTTATTCTGCATTGTTTTTTGGCTCGGGCAGGGGCAGGGGCAGGGCCAGTGGCAGTGGCAGTCGGCTGGCTCATTGTGTGCCTGTGACATTATCAAACAGGACGCTGGATAAGAGAGTCGTTGGGGCTGAATGCGAAAGATTTGTTGCAGCAATTAATTGGCCATTCAAGCGAACACAAAAGCCCAAATCAAGCCAAGTCCCTGCTCTAATTAAATTTCGCTCAAAATTGATTTACGAACGAGAGAAGAGGGAAGTTCTAGTTCCATTCATAGAGAGAGGAGTTTTTTGCATATCAAGTTGTTAATTTCGTTTGGGAGACACTCCGCAGGCTCCAATGGATTTGCCAGCTCCCTTTTGCTCCCCTTCAGAACTCGCTTGAAACTTGTCTAGGCCAAGTCCTTCTGGCCTGTGCGCCTCTCAGCGGAACAGCAAACATCACTTTGTGGCAAGTCATCATTTGCTCAACAAGTGTTTGCTTTGCCAGAGCACAAAAACGATTCCAAAATGAATGGGAAAATGTCAGGCAGCAAAGGGGAGGCGCCGCTCTGGGGCATTAAATCCTGTTGAAGCAGCCTGAATCACGTGACGTGTCTTATTGGCCTCATAAGTAAAATGGAGTGGAAAACTGAAAACTGAAGAGCATAAAGAGTGCTCCCTCGGAGAGACTGGCAGTTAGACACAAACCTGCAAAATGTCACGTGGGAATCGTGTCCAATTTCGCATCAGTTTTCCATCGCTCTTTCAATCAGGAATATTGCCATTCCCAGGACAGTTGCAGGAGCCAGAGCCATTACCTGTTGAGTCGTTTGAACCATTT